ACTTGATCCAAGAGTTCTCTTGTATGATGGATTGCGTTCAAAATTAGAAGACTACGCAGTTGAACATAAGTAGTCGTGAACTCGAAATTGGGTGCGCTGTTCAATGACTGTTATAAAATAAACTAATAATTTGGTCATGATAGCTTGGTTGGTAGGGTTATGGACTCCTGCTCGTGAGAATGGGAGTTCGAATTCAACCGACCGAATAATACCCATGTATGAAATGGTGACTGGCGCATGTTAAATCTGTCGGGATCATAAACTCCTCCAAGTTCTCATAACAATTCAATACCTCTGGGTACTGATCCCATCCAGGAGTTTCCTTGTCTTCTGGTTTGGTCTTAAAATTTCAAGGTTACGTAGCTAAACATTGGCTCAAAATTGAGTCAGTTTTTCAACGATTATAAAAAAAAAAAAAAAATAATAATCAAACTTTATTTTCTTGTATTTTTTCTAACTCCTTGTATATTTTCTACACACCTTCATAATTTGATGTTTCTAAGTCTTACAGATTTTGAGCTGTAAAGCAAAATGTATGTCTTACAGGAAATTGATTTCACTGATGTGATAGAAGATTCGCCTCTGAAAAAGCGTGAAAAGTATTGTTACCTTAAATTTTCGATAAAAATAATGTATATAAGTTTTTATAATTAATTTATATGTTTTTTACTCTTGAAATAAAATAATTTTTAAAAATTATTCAAAATTAAATTTTTTTTCTCTAAATTTACTCATAAAGGGCCCGCAAATAATGACAGGCCCAGGACCCCTATAAACATAAAAAGGGCTCTGCACAGGTTCGAAAAACAGCGTTAATATTCCCTTTTATCAATGACGGCAAAAGGTTTTTAATTTATTTTAACAAAAACTTGTTACGAATTGGAAATTTGTTGTTCAAACATTTCTGTTTTATAAACTTTTGTCTTTTATAAAGTACTAAACTACGCTAGTCTACAATCTGTAGAAAAAACAGTCTACTCTAGATAAGTATTTTAAATCAAAATATTTGTCCGATATAAAAGAAAAAGAGGTTCGTTGTAACGGGCTTTCACTGTACTTTCTCTAGAACAACATCCATTTTTAAAGACGGATTCATATTTTTGACTCAAATTATAAAGAGTAGCTTACAAAAATGTGGTCCAAATATTAGGAAAGCACTCGAGTTTCATAGTGTCAATTTTTCTTTATTGCACTTTACTCGAGGCATTGTTTCCGTTGCATATTTTTACACTAAATTGAATGAAACCAATCTTGAGACTATCTGACGAATAGTTTAGAAGGTATAAGGGTTTTATTCAGAAAAAGTACAAATTTGTACTTGTACATATTTACGTGATTGACATTATTATCTAAACAAATGAGGCATTGTTTCCTATGTATTTTTTTTATGTTGAATCGAATGAGATTATACACAATACACACATTTTATACAAGTCAATGGGATAAATAATTCAAAATTTAAAAGAATTTTTGTGTTTAAAAAATACTTTTTTTAACATCAGTTATGTACTCTATGTAGGAGCCATTTGAATATGTAGGTTTCGATGTAATTTTTTATGCTGAATTGATTGAGATAAAACAGGAATTAATAACAGTTAAGAAGTTATAAGGGTTTTGTGTACAGAAAGTACAACTTCGTATATGCTATACAGACAAATGAGGGACTATGCATTTTTTCTCGGTTAATCGAATGAAAACTAACGCAAGTCAAATATTTTAAAAGTTGCAATGTTTCTTTTTTTATTATAAAAAGTAATATTTTTTGAATTGCATTTATTGTGAAGAAATTGGTATATAATTTGAAAGCAATCATTCAATTCGGCCAGAAAAATTAAAATGTACCTTACATGCTTATCTAGATAAGAAAAGTGTACATAAGAAGTACTTTTTATAAACTATTTAATCTATAGACTCTTGTATGGTTTCATTCGATTGAACGTAAAAAAATGACTCACTTGTTTATATAAAAATGTTAGGTTCGTAAATATCTACAAATTTATACTTTTTGTATGGAAGACTCGTCCGATTAACCGGTTTCATCCTATTCAGCGTAAAAAAAAAACAACTTGCCTGCAATTCAATTCTTCCCCTCAAATCATTTCCCTCAAAAAAGTAGGTATTTATAATGACATAAAACCAAAAAATACTTTGGATGTTAATAAATCCAAAAAATTACCCTTTTTGTTCCTTTAAATACTGAACTAACTTGCAAGAAAAACCATAAGAAATTGCGCTCACGATGAATTGTCCCTGCGACGAGTTGTGCCCACGAAGAATTGTCGCCACGACAAATTGTACCTACGAAGAATTATCGCCGCGACATATGCCCTTCATGAATTTTGTCCAAGCCGAATTGTGAAAATAATGAATTGTCTTTGCGACAAATTGTGAGAGATGCAGAACCCTAAAAAAATATATAAAAGGGACACCATCTGCGTTAAAGAGTTAACCATTAATTGATAGAATATTGCACCAATAAAATCATAATCTACGCAATACACGAATACAGAGGGATAGGACAAAACACTTCTCTACTAACTCATTTTTTTCTCAAGAAATATAGACAATTATTATGAAACACTAGAAATGTCTTTTATCAATAAAGTTTAAAGATTTTAGAGGCAATAAATTACAAACGTTAAACAACGTTTTTGAACATTCTCTGCCAAAAAATACAGCGATAAGCACATAACTCGTGTCAATTACGTTGATTATTCTATGAAATAACTGTACAAAATTTCGTAATCCTAGCTTAAATATTCATAGAGATATGGACATTGCGCAAGCGTTGCATTGCAAAAAAAAAAAATTTTTTTTTTAGACTTAGGTTTTCTTACTATGACTGTAATATTTAATACAATTTTAAAAAAAATTAGAGTAATTTTTAATTAATGATAAAAATATTATTTTAAAATGTAAAATGTAAAAATTGCTCAAGATCTAAGTATTTTTCATAATTTTATTCATAATTTTATTTTATTCATAATTATATGAGATTTTTTCATAATTTTATTTTGAATCGTATTTGATAAAAGCATGGAAAAAAATTATTTAATGATTATGAAAAAAGTCAAATTAGAATACCTTAAAAAGTAGTTTTTGTTAATTTGGAAAGAAAGCTTTGATTGGTAAGGGGTTTTCTACAAATTTAGCTTTATACTATTAAGCAAGATTTATTAAAAATGACATAAAATGATATAGAACCACTTCCTATAAATTATGTTTTATTTCCTAATACCATCACATTTTGTTAACCGGACAATCATTTTAGGGTATTACTAATTGATATGAAATTTTGTTTTATGACACAAAGTGAAATTTATGTAAAACCCCTTATCATTTAGAGTTTTTAATAAAAAAGTAGAAAAGCTTCTTAAAAATTTGCTGGAAACTTTCACCTTTTTAAAGATCAGACTCTTTTCATCAGTTACCTCTAATTCGATTCTAAACAAATAATGAAATATTTTTAAAAAATGTTTTCCGCGCATGCGCAATATGAAAGGATTATTCTAAATGCTCCTATCTAGCGCAATTTGTAACGGAATTTCAAATTTTAAAACAATTTAAATTTAAAGCGCCCAAGAGCTTGGGAAGGATGGGGGCCACTACACTAACCACTGAGGTCAGCACTGGGGTCGCTGCGAGCAGGATGCGGAATACGTATACACCAGGGATCGAGCCCGTTTCACCTCATTGGAAGGCGAACGCTCTATTCCCTGAGCCCTCACTATTTTACTTTATTTTATAACCGTTGTTGAACAACCAACCCAAATTTGGGGTTACGACTACTAATGTCCAACTCCGCAGCCCTGTAATTTTGAACCAATCCAGAAGACAAGGAAACTCCTGGATCAGTACTCCCAGAGGTATGATTTGTTATGGAAACATGGAGGACTTTGTGATTCGACAGATTTAACGTGCATCAGTCACCGTTTACTACACGGGGAGTCTTCGGTCGGTTGGGATCGAACCCACGACTTTCTGGATATGGGTCCGATCAACCAGGCTACCCTGGCCCAGCCATTACTATTAATTATTGTAGAGAGTTCCATTAAAATGGGCTCAGAAATTCTGTTTCATGGTAATTTAATGATTAGACGAGCTTGTCCAGTTAGTTGCCAAATCATTAAATTACGCTACTGTATCTATTTTAAAGCAGTTTCTAACAATAATTAATAGTGTGTACGATTACGACGTCAAGAACTACGATGAGCAATAACAACATTTTATGGTAAGTTAACACAAGCTGCGGAAGACCGCAGGCAATCCTTTCACATCACGACTACAACTACTGTATTACAAAAAACTTAGGGGAGGCAGCCGGTAGCTGCTTACTTAGCACTTTCGATATTGGAATGTGCGCCAAAGCGCCTTTTGCAAATTAATTCGGCACACACCCCACCGGTAAACAGAATGTTCACCTAATTAATACCACTTAAGCATTTACAATAATACTTATCAAAACAAAGATATAACTAAAACTGTTATCATAATGAGACTATTTACAAATAATTACAAAAAATTATTACAGATATAATAAACATACATTACGATGCAAATTGAATATATAAGAAAAATTCTACTAAATTACAAAGAGCAAAATATTTTTAAACATGTATACATACTTAAGGCTTTCAAATTAAAAAAGAAGTGAATTATTTAAGTTACTCTTATCTGCAAAATAGAAACAAAATTAGTAAAATTTATCAATTAATTTCTAAAGGATAAAGAAGCTGTATAGGTTTTTAAAAACTGCCTTTAGAAGTATTAACTAAGCAAGATCTGACATAATTGTCTCTACTTAAAAATATTTCCTGAATGATCCCCAATTCCCACAACAATTTTGATTTTTACATTTCCTTCAATAAAAACAATATCTTTAACCTGTAAATTTTTATGAATAGATGAAGTTTTAAATTGGTTATTAGTTTTTAATTGTAGTAAATATTGTTCTTTCCATAATTGTTTAATAAGGAGAGATTGGTAAGTTTTTCTTTTACTGTAGGAATCCCTTGCACTAATAGAATCTAATAGTTCTATGAAATGGAGGGGATATTTTGATTGTCCATATCCTAATTCGAGTTCAGGCTCTCCTGGACTATTTTCGACATACGGTCGATTATTAACAATTAATTCGATCTCTGAGAGTACGGTCGAAAGTTCTTCGAATGTTAGTAGAGCCTTGCCTAGTATTTTTCTCAAGGGTTCCTTTATGGTTTTAACTAGTCGTTCATAGAACCCACCCCACCAAGGGGCACGTTCAACAATCAATTTCCAGTGGATACCCTTGTCTGCGATGAAGTGTTGAAATTCACTGTCCTTCAAAATATTGGTGAAATACGCTAACTCCTTCTGATCAGCCTTAAACGTACGCGCATTGTCTGAATAAATAATCTTGCAGTTTCCTCTAAGGGAGAGGAATCTCCGGAACGCAAGGAGAAAACACTTAGTTGACGTATCTGATACAAGCTCTAAGTGAAAAGCACGCGTGACTGCACACGTAAACAGTGCGACGTAAGACTTATGAAAGTCTTGTCTGTCCTTTACAAATATTGCTCCAGTAAAGTCGATTCCCTCAATTTGGATAGGGGGAGATTGAGAAATTCTGTCCTGAGGCAGCTGTCCACTTAGTTGGTCAGCTGGTTTGACATTATATTTTTTACAAATGAGACAAAGCCGAATGATTGATTTTGCTAGCTGACGACATTTAGGTATCCAACAATTTTTTCGAATTTGAGTCAAAGTTGCCGATACACCACAATGAGCAATACTTTCATATTCCCCAATCACAAGCAACTCGACAAATTTACTACGCCGAGGAAGAATTATTGGATGCTTTTCACCCAGGTACAAATCTGCTTCATTTAATCGGCTGGTAATTCGCAATGTATTGTCCTTATAAGTATGGCACTAAAGTTTTTATTTCAGAATTATTTCGAAGTTGCTTATTGTCTTTTAAAGTCGATATATCCTCCGGATAAAATTCGTCTTGAATACTTTTTATTTTCAAAATTGTTCTGCACTTTGTATCTCATCCGCAGTGAGACACGAGTTTGTAGATTTATTAATATTTCGAGCCTTGTTCACAAATCGTAACACCCAAGCAGTTACCCTTAAAAGTCTTTTTAAACTGCTGGATCGATTTATATCGACAAATGGTTCTCTCTGCTTGGTAATAGCCACATGGACATTGGAGCGATGTTCCAGTTCCTTTGAACTTAAGTCCAAATCAAAATTGGGTTGGAGGTTTGGCCATTGATCTGGTGGTTGTTTGAGCCATGCTGGCACGTGCCACCACAAATCACTATGCAATAGTTTGGTAGCAGATGTACCTCGTGAAATAATGTCAGCGGGGTTGTCCCTTCCTGGACAATGTCCCCATTGATTTGGATTAGAAAGTGTCTGAATTTCTTCAACGCGATTTTTGACATAGGTTTAAAGGTTGAAGAATCACCACGTATCCAATAATACGAAATAAGTGAGTCAGTCCAAAAATATATATTGCTTTCAAATTTAAGACAAGACGATACTTGTTTGGCTAACCTGGCTGATAATAGGGCTGCTGTCAACTCTAATCGTGGCAGTGTTAGCGATTTCAATGGTGCTACACGACTTTTCGAACAAATAAAACTAGTTTCTATGCTATTACCTGAAGTAAGATAGCGCAAATAAAGAACTGTTCCATAAGCTATTTTGCTTGCATTGGAAAAGCAATGCATTTCCAAATTCATTAATTTTTTATTCAGTTCGCCCAAATAATAATGTGGTATCTTAATATAAGTCAAATCCTCCACCACACTACTCCACTTCTGCTACTTGCGGCGTAGCTCAGGGGGAGGGTCCGAGTCCCAATCAAGTCCTGCAGACCAAAGTTCCTGAAGAAGGCATTTTAATTTAATGACGAATGGATCTAGTATACCGAGAAGATTGAAGATTCGACCGACTACACGCAAAATTGATCTTTTTCATTCTATTTTACGAGACAGAAATTTTAAAAGGTCCTTCGGATCAAAATATATTAGATCATTTTCGGCATCCCACGATAGTCCCAAAACTTTAATTGAAGGTTTGGAATCAGCCAACGTGTTTTTAGAGCGTTGTGTTTAAATACTTTCTTGTTTCCATAACAAAGCAAGATTTTCCGAATTAGTGGTCCATTTGTGTAACAACAAACCCGCATCACTAAATATTTGCAAGCACTCCTTGGAAGTACTTAAAGCGTCTTCACTATTATTTTGTCCCAAAATGAGATCATCGACGTATACCGAGATATTTAATAACTCAAATGTCTCTGGAAACTGTTCCTTGTATTTTCTAAAATGATGTTTCAAAGTCGCTGCAAGAAGGTATATAGAACTCTGTCTCCAAATAGAACTCTGGTAAAATTCAAAATGTAGGGATTACCATTCAACCTATCTGCCCAGTAAAAACAAGTAAAATTTCTATCAGGAATATCAAGTTCAATTTGAAGAAATGCAGATTTTACATCAGCTGTAAACGCTATAGAATTTTCCCGAAAACGTAGAAGAAGTTACAGAATATCAGGATGTAAGTTTGGACCAGTAAATAAGCTTTGATTTAACGAGGCATACCCATCTTCATGACTAGATCCATCAAACACAATGTGCAGTCTACTGGTAGATGATTTGTCATTGCGTATCACTGCATGATGGGGCAGAAAAAATCCCGTACTATCCCTCAAAGAATCACATGAAGTATGCTCAACTATACCTCCCGTAATGTAACCATCGATTACAATGTAATCATTACATCCCTATATTCACAATGCAACTCTGGATCCATCCCAAACCTACAACATAACCTTTCAAAACGCTCACGAGCAATATTTTCATTATTTTTCAAAACTTCTTTCATACCTGGTCTCCAAGGCAAGCTTACACGGTATCTACCATCTACAAAACTAACTGAATTATCAAACTCACTAAGCACTTCTTCATCTCTATTACCTAAATTCATCGAATCCTTGTCAAATATTCCTAAATTTCCTAACTCCCAAAATTTCCTTAATTCAGCCGAAATTAATTCATTTTCATTAATAACCAAATTTACAGACGTACAAACACTCTGCTCATCACATTTACCCTGAAGAGACCAACCAAGACTGGTATCAATAGCAACCAATAAGGAATCCAATCTTTTAATTTGTTTTGTTAAAGACCAATAAAAATCCTGACCAATTAACAATGAAATTTCACAATTTTCAAACAATTCATCATTACTAAATGTCAATCTAATTCCCATTGACTCCATTTCCTTCCATGTATCCGGATTTGGAAGGGTAATATTAGCTCTAGAAATTTCTTCGATTTCCACTGCCTCAATCATCGCCTCATCTCCATTCAATAAATTCCTCAACCTAATTTCTACCTTACGACAAGTTTGTTTTTTAGGCACTTTAGATCCGAATGAATATATTTTTAACCTTTCTGAGCCTAACACCCTTAATCCCAATCTACGAGACAAGTTTTTCTTAATAAATGTTTTTTCACTTCCATTATCAAATAAACAAAATATTTTATCTGACGAAGAGCTACCAATAATCTCTGCCTTCACGCATTGCAGCAAAACCCCACCTTTATTATTATTTACCACAGAATTTGAACAGGTAGTTTTAACATCAACTCCCTTTTCTTTCGAATCTAAACATAAATTTTGTTTTTTAGAATTCTCTAATTTAAAACAAATCGCACGTGCATGACGCCCTTGACAAAACGAACAATTATTTTTCTTACACATTTTTACATTGCAAGAAATATTACAGCATAAAAAACATCTCCTTTCCTTAATTAATTTGTCTCTTTTTTGTTGAACATTTAAATTCTCGCAACAATCAGAAGAGTGGTTCTTTTCCGAACAAAATAAACAATTAAAAACCGCAGATGTCATTAATTCAGTCGCCGATACTCTCCCAGCCTGCCTGTTATGATTAGAGGGGGGATGAAATTCCGAATGATACTTAGGTTTCATATTCGCGTATCTGCGTGGCGCCGTATTGAAATATTTATTAGAAAATGAAGGCGAACTTTTTATTTGTGACTCATTTCGATTCTTTAACAATGCGGTAGTTCTTTCTCTACTTTCTATTTCCTGTCTGAGATATTGAGTTAAATTAGTGATCTTAGAATCCCCTTTTTCAAATTTTCGATTATACTCTAAAGCTAAACTAGAAGGGATAACCTTCATAATTATCGGAAACAAAAGACAACTATAAGAATCGGGTGAGATTCCAAGGGATTCTAATCCTCGAATGTTGACTTCTAACTGATCATACAATTTACGCAATGAAATAACATCAAACGAGTTCCGGACAGGGGTCAGATTTAATAAACAATTCATGTGATAATCAATTATAAGTTCTTTGCGTCCGAATCTTTTTTCCAAAATTTCAACCGCTTTTACATAATTTTCTGAAGTTAATGTTAAACCTTGTATTGCTAATTCCGCATCATCTGTAACAACCGATTTTAAATATGAAAATTTATCTATATCATTTAAACTCGAATTCTCATGCACTGCAGATTTAAATCTAGCCCAAAAACTAGGAAAACTACTAATATTCTTACCCGAAAATGATTCCAAAGTAAGCTTGGGCAAACGGGGTTGGTTTATTAAAACCGGGCTAGTTTGAGGAATTGTAGTAGTAGTTAATGGTTGAGTTTCCGCCAGATTTTGAGGAGCTGTATTCGGGTTTGCAGCTAAATAACGCTCAGCGCGAGATTTCCACAACACAAATTTATCACGATAATCTTCGCGACTCTCAATTTCTTCTTCTAACTTATCAATATCAATTAAATCCTGAACTTCCTTATCAAGTTTACACATCTCTTCAAATTTAGCAACTAATTGTAAAAATGTTTCGTTAACAATTATTTTATCGGAACTATTATCTATTTCTGCTTCAAGTTTTTTAATTTGCTTCGTTACTAACGATCTTGAAACAGCCCTAGCTTTAATTGTTCTTTCTAACAAAGCCTTTTTTGCCGCATCCATTTTAAACTTATTATTTCAATTACAAAACAAATACTCAAATAACAGTCACAACCTCAATTCACTCTTAGAACAACAATAAATGCAATAAAACGCATTCAAAACAAAAATACAAATAATAAACACTGAAATTCATAATACTAAATCCTAAATCGAAAGAGTAACCAACAATCATTTAAATAACACTTCTATTAATATAACATTCTAACAAAATTTCTTTTCTTAAATGAAATCGAAAATCAAAACCAATACGAATTACATTCCAAAATACTCTAACCACGCCTTATTTCGAAATAACCTTATTCAAATACTATTCATTCAAAATATCCGATTAAATTATTTATCTAAACAAATCGAAAGCAAGATATATACAATAATTCAAATATCTCCAATAATATAACAAATTCCTATTCTAAACGAAAATTGAAACACATACTATCAATACGAATTGCATTTCAAAATTCTCTAACTACACGTTAATTCAAAATTACCTTATTCAACGAATACCTTCAAATATACGACTAAATGAAGAAATTTAACATTTCTAACTATTCCAAGAGAAAACGCAACGAACAATCATGCAGCGAAACAACGACAAAAAAAAAAAACAAAAAAAAAAATGATAAATCGGTGGTTTATTTGGCCATTTCCCGGCCAAGTGCACCAAAATGTGCACGATTACGACGAATTGTTCAAGAACTACGTTGAGCTATAATAATAACATTTTATTACATAACGGAGGTAAGTTAACCCAGGCTGCGGAAGACCGCAGGCAATCCTTTTTCATCACAATCACGACTACAACTACTGTATTACAAAAAACTTAGGGGAGGCAGCCGGTAGCTGCTTACTTCGCACTTTCGATATTGGAATGTGCGCCAAAGCGCCTTTTGCAAATTAATTCGGCACAAATAGAAAACAAAAAATGAAGATAATTTAGATAAATAAAAGTACCTGATGTTCAAGGGTACACTATGTAACAGCTCATAATAAGAAAGCACCCTTATCGGCATACGATAACATTTCCGACCATAGTTTCCTAGGTAATTCTTAATCCTTTTGAAATAACATACAAAGTTTATATAAAGCTTTTTATGCATGCAACCCATTTAACATTTTTAGTCCTTTTCATCCTTCATTAGCCTAAAAAATAATTGAAATGAAAAAATATATTATCTAACATTTTTTATGCTCCTTCAAATTAAATGTTAAAATTTAGGTTTATTCAATTGTAGCTAAAAAGATTTTTATCAATTTATTGTAATAAATTGATAGAAATGTTGAATGCTGCTAATTAATGAAATTAAATAAAGCTCAGTGACATTACTATAGGAAACTCACTCTTTTACATACATAACTAATATAACATTTTGATATAAATTTTTTAATATTAAATTTTTAATTGCATGATAGGTTTAAATGTAAATTATTGTATAAGAGTATTCAAAATTTCCAATTATTCTTTTTCATCATGTTCGCATGTTTATAAAATGTTCATGGATAATATTATTTAAAAATATAAAAAATACGATTATACTTTATAACAGTTCAATTACTTTTATTCAGAAATTAAAGTATTATTCAACCTTTTGTTTTAAATAAACTTGGTTTGGTCCTTAATGTTCTGGATTGGGTTCAAAGTTACAAGGCTACGGAGTTTCACATTGGTAGTCAAAAATTCAAAGCTGGTTCGGGTGTTCATCAACGATTATAAAAAATTTAAACTGTTTATTAAAAAAATAGTTATAGAGATATTAAAGCAAATATATAAATACATGATTTAATTTCTAAATGCACGCAGAAAAATCTTTTAAAAATTAATGATTTCCAGATTTTAAATAGTTTTGTATTATGTGCAATTTTATTTTATAAAAAGTGAGTCATTTTGTGATTGTTGTAATTTTTTATATTTTATTATAAAAAATAATCTAATTTTTTATTTATTTTATAAATAAATCATTTAATGACTTGTTGCAGTTTTAAAATTACAAAATCAATGACAAACCTAACCAAAGTTACAATTTAAATATTTGTCAGAAACTTTGGCAGAACAATTGGTAATCTCTCCCTGATCTTTAAAATGTATAGAAATATTAAGAAGCTGTTTACAAATCAGCATGTTCCAAAACTTAAGGGCCGTCTACTAATGATGACTCCTTTGGAGGGGAGGGAGTGGTTCCTGAAAATAGAAAAATTAGTGATATGGGGGAAAAGGTAACAAATGGTGCAACGTCAATTATTTCAGTTAAAATATAAAAATTTTAAATCAGCGGATTAAATATTTTGTATTATTTATTTTTTATATTTTTTTCATGCTTAGTTTGGATAAAAATGTTGTTTTTATTTTGAATCGAAAAACATACATGCTGATTTAGGTCTAAATTAAATGTTAATTAAGAGTTTGAAAGGAAATCCTTGGAACCTAATTTTATTCTCTAAGTAAAGATATAAAAGAAAATATATTAAATTCCAACTATTATTTTCAATTTATTTTTTATATAAATAGTTGATTACCATTGTTTATTAGATATGTTTTTTGATGTAAACCTTAATCTCATTTCATACGAAATAATTACACATTATTAACTAACTAACTCTAACTCAGTGGCGCGACAGCCCATTAAGAGGGCCAAGGCCGACTGTGCCCATCTCAGTTTTCTTGACCTTGGGCTCTGGGGTGCAAGAGCATATGTTCCGGTCAGGTGGTCAGCCGAACGCGGAACCCCCAGTGTTAGTTCCCAAGCATGCTTGGTACTCATTTTATCGACCCACTGAAGGGATGAAAGGCTGAGTCGGCCTTGCCCGGCCCAAGGATCGAACCAAGGACCTGTGGCACGGCAGCGCGAAGCGCTTCCACTCAGCCACCGGGCGTCAATTACACATTATTATTGTTATGTATATAATCTTTATTATAACATATAATGTCATTAAAACATACAAAGTTTAAAATTAAAATTTTAAATATGATAAACGTAGAGCTTTTTTTCTAAACTGTTAAGTATTCTGATTCTGTTATTTTTTCAAAAATTAAGTTGCTGTAAGTATAATAAACCGATTGGAGACGATTCTGAGTAAAAGGAAGGAGAAAGCTAAAAAAATTAAACAGGAAAACATAAAATTCGAACTTTACTTGCTACAAAAGTTGAGACAAAAAGCAGATAGAGATTTTTAATAAATTACGCCAAGTTAGAAGTATACAAAATTTTTAGCTTACTCCTTAGTGTTACTTTCATCTATATAACAAGGTCGGTTCACGCCTGAAGAAATTTTAGGAATTAGGAAGTGAAAATTTAAGTCTATTTTAGAAATCTAATTTTCAATAAACCTTCCAAGGCAAGGTACATGTTTAGCTCGTTGTGAGACGATGTAAAAAGCGACAAAAGAGAACTTTGTGAAAAGTAAAAAAAAATTCAAAAATCAACTCCAAATGGTTCAACAAGTGATATAAAAAATGAATTGGGCCATATTGTTTCAAGAGATATTCGGATACGTCAAATAACGCAAAAAGGCCTTGTCTTAAACCACATCATAAACAAGCGAGAATAGATAGAATCATACATATGTGAATAGAACTGGAATGTAGCTGGTTGAGACGACAATAGTTATTATTGATATGACCTAAGAAAGAGTGATCTATTTTGCAGAAAATATGACTTCACTTCATTCTTTTGGATTCAATGACTAAACCAATTTTGACATACGCTTCTGACAATCACGAAGCTGGAGGAATCACAATATTTGAGAGAAAGATTTTGCGGAGTGGTGCAAATAAAAACTGGAGAAGGAACTGTAAAAGACAACCCGATATTATTAGATACATAAAAATAAATAGAATGAATTAGATGACCCACGTGATTCGAAGGAGTGATGACAATACAATAAAAAAGATGCTGCTTTTTAAACCTACTGGAACAAGAAAACTGGCTGATTTTCTTGCAATTAATGAAAAGAATTGGAGATCAAAGATAAATCGGATGTCATTATGGAGAAAAGGAAGGGATTGATCCACAGTCTGGCCAACTATGGTGATGACTAAACCAATTTAGCACTTTTGAGTGGTTTTCAAGCTTCAGTAGACTATCAATGTACGCAGCCACTTACTACCTTTCAGAGACAGTCAGTAAAGTGGGCTTTCAGCAAGACTATGCCAGCATACATGCGTCGACACAACAATGGCTTACAGCGTAAACCATAGCAGTACTATACTGGCCCCCACATAGCCCTCACCTAAATCCATACAAAATGTTTGTGATATTATTTTACAAGCTTTATATAGGGATATTTATTGGGTTAGCAAAAGAATTAGGAAATCAAAATTATGTTTAGGAAATTAAAATTAAGAAAAGAATTAGGAAATGAAAAGAAGCTATTAAAATGGCATGGTTTAATATCGATCCTGAAAACTTTCTATAGGAAACGTTGTAATTAGGTCGATTAAAAAAAAAGAATTATCGCATCGATTATTCAAATTTTGTATTTTATTTTCTCTGAATAAACATTGCCATTCATGCTTAAAAATTTGGGACAAACAAAATCGGTAAAAATGTGATTATTTTATTCTATCCTAATTCCTTTAATTACTGTTTTTTGTGGTATTTCTTTTTATCAATTTATTACACTTTTAATATAATTATTGGCAAGATATCTGCTTCATTTGAGAATTAAAAGTAAATAAAATTTTATATTTGCCTAAACTTTTGTGGCAGACTATATTAAATTTTTTCAGTTAGAATTTATGAACGACAACGCCTATTTAACACTGAAGTTAAATAAGAACAGATATTTAGAGTGTTTTATATTTGGTGGGCGAGGTCAAAACTTTTTTGTGATAAATACTTTTTTACTATGCTATCAAATTTTAGCATATCTTTTACCATAATTAGTGGTATAAGAAACAAGCATTTTTTTCAACTGGAAAATTTATCGTATTATAGGTTTTTAATGCAAATTAGATGGAATTCTAATTTTTCTTTAAAAAATTTCTTAGCTTATTGAAGTTTTTA